CAAAAATTGGTTTTTTTTTTCTTAGTTCAAATAACTTTTCGTGGTTAACATTATTTTGTACTAACTTTTTTTTTGAAATGATTATTCAATTCTAGAGGGTTTATTAAAAGTAAGAAATTGTACACATATTTACATACATACAAATACAAGAATGTATTTATACAAGAATGAACATGTGTTGTATACAGATTACACGTGTATTCTTGTCATTTCTACCGTCTGTAGTAAATAAGTTTCCTGCAAATGAACATTAACATATCTTGAGCTTTGTATTCATTTACATAGAAGTTAGGAATAGTTAGATAAATTAAGTGATTAATACATTGAATGCCTTATTCTATGAAAAAAAACCCATTTTTTTTCTTAATTAACAACCAATTTCTATAAACATTTTCTCATAAGCTTAGTGATAGGAAAAAGAACTTGATTACTGGACGGAACATGTGCATACGTGAAATGTGCAAATGTCTATATAGACTGAACATTATTTAGAATAATTTACTGATTACGGAATATACTTTTTAGGTAATTTTAGAAGTATATATATATAAATATAATACTATAATTATTCTCATTAGTTATAATCACCAGCAAGTCTTCTAGTTATATATATGATAAAGGCTGGTTGTTCTAGTACAGTGCATGATTTGTGACAAGGTTTCATGAGTCTCACCAAACTTGACGATATGTCTAACGCAGAGACGAAAACAGGGTAAAAAAAACACTGCTCCTACTAACTTGAACGGTATATCATGCAACTAAAGTGACAGCCAACCTATCGAACAACGATTTTACTAATCAGTTGTTAAATATCCTATTTAAGGTACTGTACCGATTGCTGGCATTCGATAATAAATATCTTTAAGATGTTCTTGGTTTTGATTGGGATTACTGAGTGAGAAATCCCAGAGTTAGACGTAGAGTATTATGTAGAAATTGTGAACCCACTGGAGCTGGAAATCGTCGTATAACCACTTGGTTAGAATATTTGTTACGCACACAGCACATATCTGCCTGTGTGGTTGGTAGAAAAAGGTAGTTGGTGGAAAAAGTTACAGGTTTACAGAAAAATACTAGAATTAGTGAATGAGGTATGACTAAATTAGGTGAGGAATTCGTGGTTGGAGTTGATTTAAACACAATCTATGGTCACAAATGGTCAGAAACATGACTTAAGAAAGAGCGACAAGGTAACGTATCCATCCGTTTGTTTTATTATAGGTATTGATCTTAATATTTATAGATAAATTCTTCGATGTAATATGATACATTTACTTCCTAATATGACTATCATGCATTTAGCTCCCTTGACCTTCATATTTGTATGTGCTTTCTCTTTGATGATGCAAATTGTGGGAGGTAGCTTGAACTGGTATACAATTGTGCAAGATCTTATATCATTTTTGACTGTATGACAGAAAGAAGCGGTTAGTATACTTCAGTTGGTGATCACATTATATTCCTCAATCAGTAAGTTTCTACTAGTACTCAGGACTTGAAGAATATATTGATCAGGATCACGTGATTTCAGAAAAATAAGCAGACATTATCTGACATACCTAGATCACGTGCCTTGGCTCATTTGCCATGATAACTAAATTAAAAGTTATCCGCTATAAAGGACCATGAAGAAAAAAACAATAAACAGATAGTTACATAAGTTTCATTATCATTAAGTCAAGTCTAATTTCTTAAGCTACAAATTTAGCAGATTTTAAAAATAAATAAAATGGAAAATCTACTGTTATAGAAAACAATTATGAAGAAAAATACTGAATGTTATAATTAATACAATTATTTTACGGATTTAAAACAAACCAACATAGGATAGGCATAATAATAATGTGAACAAGTACAGTGGAGAACATAATTAATATAATTATTAGGTGACAATTAGTGTCGGAATTTATGTTGACCACATACTCCCATGTATCCACACACATAAAGTTCATTGCTGTCAGCGTTATTAATAATAATGGCTTTGTTCGCTACTATAAATTTTGTTACAGGGAAGAATCCTCACAATCAACTGTGCAATACTGTAATAGATATCGATTAAATTTACACCCAAAAATAAAATTTTATAGATGTTCTTTCAATAGTCAATGTACATCTTTCTCTAGATTTTTTTCGAAAGGTAGTCAGAGAAAAATATGCCAACACGTAGTGCCTCGATTTCAGATTTACAGAATTTATTGTCGCAATAAGTTGTAAGTCTATTTATGTTAGGTAATAAAGCTTTTTTTGTATATTTCTAGTAACAATAATCAAATAACTTGAACAAAATCTTTACAAAATGAACAGTTAGAAGAGCATATATTGCATTATTGAAATCAAACATAAACTTATTCATATATTGGTTATGATTAGCCATAATACAGTAACATTAACCGTAAATTAGATAAAATCGCTTCAGGGATGTGTAGTACACGATTGTGAGAATCGTTTACTTTGAACTTTACATTATCTACGTGACTCTTTCCAATGTTTCTGAAATATTTCTGTAAGCTATGAATTCATCTGATCTCATTATCGTTTAATACAAGAAATAATTCTGGTTATTAAGGCTATTAAATAATTAAAATCTGTAGCTCAGTTGCACCAGCCAGTACAGAGAACATAACACCATCATGTGCAACAACTTTCTATGGTTTTAGTAAATAACAAAAACACTAATTAAAAGAATTAGACCTGATGAAGTGGAAGTTAAATGGAAAATCAACCACAAGATTGAGATTAATGATACATGGTCACATTGCAACCATTATCAACAAAAATTAGTACTGTGAACACAAAGCGAAACCTAATCACTCTGGATAATAAGTCAATATTCTATTGCTAAACATATAATTGAAACAGGTCACAAGATTGATCTAAATTCAGCTTTTGTAGTGCTGTATAAAAGTGTAAAAGGGCGTATACTAAGGTTCATTGAAGCCTTAGCCATACGAAAATTCAAACCCCCTTTATGTGTTCAAAAAAATTAGTACATCAAAAAGGGTTTTTTGATTATAGACTGTCTACGAGTTTGATCGATTGATAAATACATTTCAAACATTCAAAATCCCAAGTAATTGTGTAAACTACATAATGAAAGGTTTCAATGATTTTCATTTTATTGCCTCAAACAACTAATGTGAAATCTGTAAAATACCAAAAACAATTATAGTTCTGTCAATTCACATTACTAAACTAAACGGTTCACTTTCCAATTGTTAATAGTGATATTCAGCTTTAAACTTTTAACATCAGTTATTTTATTCAGAAATACTTAATGTTTAGATATACGTAGATGTTTATATTCATACGTAATATTGACAAATACGTAAAACTCACCAAAATTAATTTCTCAGAAGAAATATATTAACTGTACATTAAAAAGTACAATGATGTAGTTCACACTGACATTGAATAATTATCAATGTATCGTCACCTATCTAATCGTTTCACTTAACTGGTTATTGAAAATTGTTTTTTATTCAAACTCAAGGTCACTAATTGATAATTCAACTAATAAACATTTAGTTGTATCTATATATAGTATGATTAGAATCGAGGAATCTTAAACAAACAATATCTGAATGCATAACAATTTGCTTATAATCATTTTTTGCTCCACATAAGAATGAATAAGCTAAATATTATTTAAATATTAGACCATATATCATTCAAAATACCTAAAATAAAACTCTAATACGAACCAACTAATTTTTAGGTTAAGATTAAAATTGGTACATTCTTTATAATGAACAGACACTTCTAGTATAAATAGAGATGTGGTTCTTCATGTTCTGAACGAATATTTGTCATATTACCACGCCATAATTTAGGTGTACTGGAGAAAACTGACTAATATATCTGATCCTGAGGATTATCATCTGAGGTTTGGCGGAAACTGTGGTATGAAAGACATCGTTCACAACAATCATTCGAATTCGTCGGACAGTGAATACTAAAACTTTTATGGCATTCGACTGTATGAGCTGGAACGTTTTTTTCACAAAATTTCGCTTAAACTATAATTTAACGAGAAGTATACAAGCCTAAGTTTTAAAAAGTGCTGTAGATAAAAGTTGATTGACTAGTGTTAATGTATCAGCACCGACAAAAGTATGATAAACAAGGCCATCGATATAACGCGAATAGACAAATCAAAAATAAAATAGTTAAGAATTTCAGTTATCATTACAGCAGATTAACCTATAAGATCGGAATTCAGTGTAAATTAGTATTGATCATCGCAATTGTTATAATTACATAACAAAATTATATATACATAAATATATAAATATATGTTGTGATTCAGTGATTAAATGCTTTTTCACAAGTTCAGTGATTACATACTAACTCAGTTCTTTCGCATTTATTTTACAAAAATGAATGGAAAGTAATGTAAAACAAGAAAAAAAATGCAATTACCGGCATGAATCAACAGGAGTTTGTGTTTAATTCTTTTCAGCTTTTTTGTCGAAAAGTATGACTGAAATAAATGTATATTCGGAAAATAAAAATATATCCACAAATTAAGCAGAAGCAAAAGGTAAACACAGTAAGGTGCATATATATATATATATATATATATATATATATATATATATATATAAACGCAGACTAGAAATGTGATCAAAATCAATAAAACCTGGATAAGATGGGATAAGGAAAGACAGAAAAATGGGAAGGAGTGAAAGTATAATAGAAACAAAATGAGAAAAAAAGAATAAATAACAAGTTTCACTACAGAGTATGCATCGATTTCACCCTGAGATTGACGATGCAACTTGAATAATAATATTAACTAGATGTGAATATTAGTTACGATATTGTAAAGATAATAGGTAGTAGAATTGATTAGATGATGATTGACAAATGTTACCAAACAATATGATTAACTGTTAAGAAAAGAATTTACATTAGAGGTAGTATTTACTTATATATATATATATATATATATATATATATATATATATATATATATATATATATATATATATATATATATATATATATATATATATATGCATTATGAAGACCGAATAGCAGAGGCAAACACATACTGTGTAAAATGGACAAGAGATAAACAGGGCAAAAAACAAAGGAATGTCTTCGTTTAGAAAAAAAAGGTGAGAAAATTTCACTATAACTTCCTACAATGGAATGGATTTTAAAAAAATAAATGAAGAAATAATGAAGTAACGTAAAAATAAAAGGAACACGATGACAAGTTTATCTATACATTTATAAATATGTGTGAGAAGAGATTGATTTTTGTTCATTAGGAGATAACATTCCTGACCAGTTTCCTATCTCTTTTTTAATCAACCTGAGAGGTATACATAAATATGAATAGAGTTGATTGTGTGTGTTATTTTCAATTTTGTTAATCTGATTTTTTTGTTTTATTCATCTGACTTTTTAAAAATCGAATTCGTTTTAAAATACAATCAGCTGTAAGACGTGCCTCTGGATCATGATCCCAACATTCATTAATTGTACGATAAAAATGAGTAATCAACTATTTAAAAAGAAATTTGAGAAGAGATAAAAAACGAAAAGAGGATAAGCAGAAATAGACTTTAATAAACAAACAGAAAAATATATAATCAACTATATTATTTTTAGTAAAAAAATTTAGTTTTAGTGAAGTTATAATTTGTTAACAATTATTTTTCAAACAGAACACTTCAATTTTTTAAAACCAATACACTTATTGCTTAATACTCATTAACTTAATTTAATAAATTAAGTATTATCTACATATTTGTATCTATATGATTACACTTGTAAACCAGTGTGAATTCTGCATTAATTTTCAGAACATAAATTATCATCACATTAAATATCATCTTATTTCTTATTTGATGTGATATACATTCGATGTATTACACCATACCTATCCACAGTGGAGAGATGGTATAATGGTTAAGACGCTAATTAATAGCTATCAGATCGAGGATGACAGTTAGAATCAATAGTCCTGACATTCATAGTGACTTTTGAAATAGCTATGGTGCATTTAATTTTAACAATAACCAGTTATTACAGCTTGATGAATATCTTCAAGACGGAAATATAGATGTAGGAGAAAATATTCAAACTGTTGACCAATTATAATATTATGAAATGTTATAAGTCACAAAACAATTTATACATGAATAATATACTATACTATATACTATATGTAATAATCGCGTTTTCTATTTGGAGATAAGTGACATAGATTGGAATCTCTAGCATACGATAAATAAATTAAATATTATGACCAACGTAAAAATTTATTAATAGATCTAATGTAGGATTAACAAGATTATATTACAAGACAATTTTCGAATATTAGATGATACAACAGGTTAACCACACTTAGCAGAAAAATGTGGACGCGCCTATGATTAAATCTAACACTTAAAGTAATTTATTTAAAACTAAACTTCATAAACAAGTAAACAATGTGAAAAAAACTTTAGACTACAAAAACATCAATAACGTACAGTTGAATTAAACCAAGACGGATGGCCAGCTGGACGATATTTTTCCAGACATACAAGCTGTTGTAAAGCAGCTGAAGAATTACACAATGATCCCAGTTCCTTTTCATAAGGTAGCCAGTGGTGCCGCTTTCTCATTTTTCTATGTTCTGGTGCACGATAATCTACATTTACAGGGCTGTGTGGGTCCAGATGATCAAACTCAGGGTGTATACTATTCATCAAACATAAATCTGAACCAATCGATGGGGACGCGTTTTCAGGAGAGTCGTTCAACTTAAAATCAATATTGTGAGTCTCATAATCGCCTTTTGAAGCATTTTCATGGTCAATAGGTAGAAGAACAGCTGTGAGCAACTCCCATAAGACCAATCCCAAAGAATATATATCGGTACGCAGTAAAGCCCATCCAGTGAAAGATATAGCACCATCAATAATTTCTGGGGCCTGATATCTTAAAGTGCCAGCCTGTAGGCAAAAGATGATAATAACGGATTATTACTTTGCTGTGAGATAAAACAAAAGATTATATACGAATGAATTCAGTATTTACTAAAAAAGATTCTATTCTTTTAAGTGGCTGTCTTCGCTACTGATACTTGTTCATTTGTGGGCCTAAGTCAATAACGAAGTCTCGTAATTATCTATCATGCTTGTCCACCTTGTATTATTATTGAACATCAATTTTAACTAAAACATTTCTAGAAGGTTAAAGTTTTATGACTGATAAATCTTGCGGATTGAATGCTATATTCGTCTCCTAAACTATTCTGTAACCCCCAAGCTAGAACTACACAGCGACCCGAGAGAATACTCAAAGTATGCGAGAAGTAGTTTACTCCAAGGTTCATTTTAATACAGAAAATACAGGGATTTTATAATATTTTAAATGTCCTTGGGTTGCTAGAAGATTCTAGAATGCTACTAAGCATAGTAGCAGCCAGCCAATCAGAGCCTTTGCATGTAACGTTTCGCTTCCATGATATTTTTGGCCGAGACTCCAAGTGAACGCTGATTGGATGAAACGCTTCTTAGTGTTTCCTGATGCTTGCTTGTCTTTTGCAAGCAATTTTCTGGATTACCCCAACAATGACAAGATATTGGCTGAATTAACTACCTATCAAGACTATCCACTTTTTCTTTTTTTTAACCAAGTTAATCACAAATTGGCCCCCAAATGCACAGTCAAGGGTAGTGGGAGTCCGCTCTTCCTCTCGAAATGCTCTCACATGGCCTTGTGTATACAACCACTGACAAGGAAGTCCTACTCACTGCCTTATCACGGTGAGGGTGTAGTCTACAAAATTAAGAGGACGAAAAGCAAATTTCCAGTGCTTTAACCGGGTTAGTGGATATGGAAAATCCACCTAAGGGAGTTGGAAAACCCTGATTCCAAACCAATGGTGCACATGGGCTCCAGGGTCCTGAGGGGACAAAAGGTGTATTAACCTATTGTTGGGGTGTGACCCCCTGATAAGACCATCCTCCATTAAAACTCCATGAGTTGCAATCTTGAAGCTAGTTGCTAGTAAGCACATGATTATTATTAGTATGGGGTGGCAGTGGAGTCCAATCCGTGTCGGAAGTGAGATAGTTATGCACTGCATGCAATGGGTAAGGGCTGAGCAATATCGTGAATCGAACAAAATTAGACATCAGCAGTGTTGGATACTGACTCAGGGGTATAGAGATTAAGCGTGAGATTGAAAGTTCTGGGTCCGATCCTCGGATACGGACTGCTGAGTCCCACACCATAATAAAACGGCTGTCTAGTGCTTCCAGGTTTTCAATGGTGGTCTAGCTAATATCAGTTTGTAGCTGAGACTGGAAATATTTATTAATTAAACCAATACGCGAACAAGCACATAGCTTTACACGGTGTTAAATGTTAGGTTATACTCTACAGAGGTAGGAGACAAACGCGAATTACTAGATCCTTCATGGTAATGTTGAGATGACTTAATTTCACTTGAAGTAAGCCTTGATTGTTTTGTTTAAATGAGTTATCGCAGCTTCGCAATTAAACTAGTCAGCTCAAATAACTCAACCTTCTTAAAACTAACCATCTGAATCACAAGTCTTCCCCATTTTATTTTCATTATTTATTTTAACACATAGATATTGGTACAAGGAGGCACCAAATACATATGCGCCACACAAATCTCATTTGATATGTGTGAGGGCTGGGATACTGCCCGGGTGCCCAAACCGAATCATTTCGGAGTATCAAATAGTAATTTTGAAACGAGGCAATGCGTAAAAAAATTTACAAGAAAAAACAAACCAAATAAATCATACCTTCGGCATAGACTCCAATGCTGAACTAACTGAATACGTCGTAGTTAACACATCTTGTAACGATGTTCCACACGAATTGTTTGATGTTGGACTATTGGGTGAATTTTCTGCCAGACATACAGACTGTCCAAAATCCGACAAACAAGCAGTTCCATCAAAACGTATTAATATATTTTCTGGTTTCAAATCACGATGAGCCACTGGATATTTACCGTATATAATTTGATGACCATTGGATTGTTGTCTATTCACTAAATCACTATGTAGAAAGCCTAGACCTTGTACAATATCATCAGATATTTTTAGTATTTTAGTAAATGATAACCAAACACCTTGTGATAAAAGTTGACGCAGTGAACCACCTGAAGCGAATTCCATAACTAAACGATATTCTGTGATTGTGGATCGACAAAGTTGAACCTTATAATTTATCCGAATTAATTACACGAGAAAATATTACGGTTACACAGTTAATTTATACACAATAGCATTAATAATTATAACAAACATATATGTAATTCACACCAGAAAACCCATGAATATTCAGGCTTTCCTAGTAACAAGACTTAATTACCAGTAGATGTAACAATAAAACACGGAAATCAAATCACTTCGCGAAGGACTAATAGACCTGATAAAGTAAAATAAGTGATTATCAGTCGACCATATGATAGCAGGATGATTACTTGATTACAGCATGTTTCAGACACGATCATATTGAAGCGCGCTGATTGCTTCAATTTCAATCATCGATAGTAGATGAGTTGAAAACACCAGGAATTTCCTTTGTATTGAACATTTTCTTACTATATTAACTTAACTCGATGTTTACTTTGAAACATATTTACGTTCCTGTTCAGGTTGTGTTTTCACCCCAGAACCAGTCGAATGATGTGAAGTGTCCAAGAAAAAGAAAACTTCACACAACACATCATTTAAGATTACGTGAATGTCAAGAACTTGGTAAGAACAGTATGCATGTTTAAGAATAACAAATAAAAACAAGAAAACAAACTAGACGATAGTAATATAAACAGAAGTGAGCAAAGAATAACAGCGAACGACACCACTAAACGCGACACTGATCATAAAACCTCAAATGTAATTCATCACTTTGATTACCGGTTTCACTTTTCTTGAGATCCTGTAAATCCTATTTAACAATAAACGTAATGTTCATTTATTTTATTGAACATAAAAGCTCTTTTGCAAAATTTAGTCTACTTCTCTCTTACTACTTGTGTAAATTGTAATCATTGTGTATTTGTTGCTTAATTTATTCTATTTACGTTGGATGTGCTTACGTATTATTAGTCTCTAAGTTGAGTACAATTAAGTTACTATTAACACTGCTAGACTGAGGTGAATTTGATAAATGATTCAACGATAATTAAATTAGTCATTCATACACAACGGTCGAACCTGGAAAAATGTTCATTGGTTCAAGTTCGCAGCACACCATGGCAGTAAAAAGAGATCCAAAAGTGGTAGACGTAATAACAGTATTAGTTGTGGTATAAAAGATTAGCAGAAAACATGAATTCATGGAATAAAATAAGTATAAGGTAATTCTGAAACTCAGGAATCCATCATCTCTGCACCATTTTAACCGATTACTAGTCAGGAATAATTTTAGTAGGAAATATAAAGTCAATCATTACGTCAACATTATGTAAGACGAATAAATTAAGCACAGCCCTAAGTGTAAAGAGGGATAGAACAAAGAAATTATTTCGTCTTCAAGGAAGGAGAAGACAAAATCATATGAAGAAATAACTATTGAATATAAAACAATAAAAAGAAGAAAATAAAAAGTAACGAAAAAATATAAACATTTGAAAGAAACAAAGAGATTTCGATTCTTTTTTTAAAAACAGAAAACAATTGTCAAGTGACACAAGCAAAAACTGAACTCGATTGAATAGATAAATATTCTTCTTTTAAAGTTAAATGCCTAGCAAACAAACCAATAAAAGTGGGACGGGGGAGTTATTTGTTTGCACTTTTAAAATATACAATATGACAAAGAAGGAATTAGACAATAGTGACAAGCAGATTTTAAGAAAATTATAAAGTGAAAAATAATGTTAGATTGTAAATCAGCTGATTTATTAAAAATCTTTAAAAAAAAATCGCCAAATCTATCTTATTTCAAATTTTACAGAATAACAGATAAGCATGTAATCCGTTGTTATAAAAGTCACCATACTGAATTAAAATTGTATCTGATGTTTACGTAAACAACATATATAACTGATTTAAATAATAAACTTCAACAAGATCAAACTAGAAACTACATAGATTTTAACAGCAAATAATTACTTACTATTATTCTATACAGTAACAAATTTAACAATTCATAACATTCCTGTTGGAAATTAGAACTAATGACTTAGTAACATGCACAACTGCAATATCATACTGTTTGATAATAGCATGATTAATAATATATAAATCGAAGTATTTGAGGTGTACTTTAGTAAACACGGTTTTTTAAATAGACTGGACGGTAAAAAGATGTTACATAGTTACTGGAATCTTGGTAGGTGAGGTATGCACAACTGCTGCTCGAGGCTCGTCACATACAGTTATCCTGTGAGGAGCTTTTGATATGTTAGCACCGTGCTATTCAACCTTTAGCACCGGCACCAGAGATCTGGTGAGATGTACTATTTTAAGGTCGACCTTTTAAAACCTTTTCCTCCTGTTATGTAAAGATAGAATCGCTGAAGATGCTAGTTGCCCTGATGAAAACACTACCGCTGTTACACTTATATACAATCAGGAGTATGACCTCGGTCTCGGACACTAGGTTTACAGCTCGCAAACTATACAAACACCTGGCATAGTAGGATTCAAAGAGATGAGTGTTCCAGCTAATAGCTCGGTTGGAGGCTCATCATGGTATTGAAGCTTGACCACCACATCGACGAAGGTCCTACGGTCGGTAATATTATAACTGCCTTTAGCTATACAACAAAAATGTCAGGATTTTTATCAAAGCGATAAGAATAAATTTATTTCCTCCATGGAATGTAGCGCAGTGTAGTAATTTATTAATCTCTTGAAATCTACGGATAACTCTAACATAAACGGTAATTTGAGGTTACTGACTGAATCAGACCAAAAGTTGGATACCTTATTGCTAACATATACTAACAGACACCTGAACCAATAACACACTGATGTCCATTCAAAAAGACTAAATGGACGACATATTGAAGAAAATAAATACAATCTAAAGATATTAGCACGAGAGTTACATACAGCATGCAAGCTGTTCGACTATATTACATATTGACGAATTCGCCTATTTAAATAACCAAAACTCTGAGAACCTATGTAGATCACCAACTAACAAGTTATATGACTTAGCACTTTAAAAAATAAAAATAAAATTTCAGATAGTTTTGTCAGTACAATGTTTTACAACTATAATATTATGTAATAGAGATGTTCAAGTGCTAAAATGTTACTTTCATTGATAAGCAAAGGCTTTACTATTATTCCACCTTCGATCTAGGATATCTAATAGAATGCTTACGAACACACAATGGTAATTTATCGATATATAAATTCATAAACGTATCCATATTTCTGTTCATTCAATTTTTTACAGGGTATCCTAAAATAAAGCCAAAGTACTCGACATACTTATTTGAGAAAGTGGATAATAAAAGCATTCAGTGATTTTAATGAATTTAACAACTTACCGATCCTGCTCCTAACAGTAAGACAATATTAGGATGCCCAATATGTCTTAACATTTGGTGTACACATTTGATACTGAAGGAATTCATAGTGCTTGTTGTACCGACAGTGTCGGTGGTAGTAGTGCTATTATTACTAGTATTATTATTACTAGTGTTACTATTATTATTAGTAGTAGTACTAGTAGTGATTGTTATTGTAGCAGTAGTATTGATAGTAGTTGGAGCAGTAGGAGCAGTACTAGAAACAATTGCAGGTAATCGTTTGTTTATTGAATGGATAGCCTTGAAAATTCCCAATTCTGTTTTCCATGCATCATATTCATTAGCACTGAATGTTTTTACGGCCACAGGCATAGGGGATTCATCATTCGTAGTAAAATTGTCTATTGGTGAATTTTTTACATCAATAGATGAAACCGTTCTGGTTGATAATAATAAAGGAGAGGTAGATGTTTCGGCGTGATGTACATTTTCCTTGTCATCAGTACGATCTTTCGTTTCTTTTTTCAAAGAAACTGAAGTTTCACTCTTCTCACTGTGTTTGAGTAAATGAAAAAGAGAAAAGAAGATTTGGGCAACACGTATTCACGAATGAAACAAAAAGACATTGTAACTTTGTATTAAAAGATGAATTTCGTTCAAGCTAGAATAAATTTAAGAGTGGGGTGGTTACCATCTCTCAAAATAAAGCTAACAAGACTGACGGTTTTACCATTTTGGTCTGTTAGTGTATAGCGTTTTTAGAGCTGTGTGGTTTATAATTCCAAACTATTAATGGATGACCGACTGTCCATTAAATTTACACAATGCAACATACATCCTTTAAGGATATTTTATGGTTTTTATGCACGGAAGATAAAAATATGTACATTGATGCATAACAGCTACATATCTAGCAAACCGTTGAGATATTTAACGAAACATATTAGATCCTGACTTTTCTTTGCTTAAATAAGTTGGGGATGAAGGAGATAAGTGGAACTTGTTTTCGTTTATCATTCATGTTATACTTAGCACTGGAATGATTAACTTTAAGTATTCAATCGTACCCGTACTTGCCACAGAACTACTGAATAATTCTTTTATGGTGACTGCATCTACCAGGCACAGGAAAAATCAACAGACAGATCGTGACTAGTTTTGGTCTAGACAGAATACATTGAGAATATAACCCGCTGTTCAACACAGACGATCACACCAATAAAGTTTTCGCTCAAAAATACTGGGATTATAGTCACATAAGCAGCTCAAAATTGATGTAGTTGACTCTGTTAAGAAATCAATTAGTTTGAAAACGACTTTCAGCAAAAGATAACAGATGAAAAACACAAGTCATGGGGCCACAAAAAAACGATAATGAAGCATCTCAATCTCCTCCATGATGAAATTCAAATTTTGAAGAAACTGAGGATCAAATATCAGGACGAGATTAAGTGTTTCTACAAGCTTCATGTCGACACTTTGGTCTCATAAGAAGCTCTATTTGCTGGACATATAGAATCCATGTGCAAATTATCGATTAACTAGCATTCTATTGATTCATTTTAATAATTAAAATGTGTATCCTTCAGCAAAACCTTAGAGTACCTTTCTATAACAAAGATAAACAAACTTAGTTGATTCAACTCAAAACTCGGTTCAGAAAAATGTGCACAGGAGCCAGCTAATTGACTAGTATACCTTCTTTCTTTATCTAGAATCATGCACCTAATTCCCGTCGCTGTTCAAGTTCAGCACTATATGGTAAATACACAAGTTTGTAAATTTTCATATAATATATGCAGATATACAAGTTATTTGAAATAAAAAATTCTCATTTGTTTTGATAGTTCCGATGGAAAAAAAGATAAAAATTCAACTGTAAGCAAGAATGAACAAAAACATAATAGCGTTAAGTGCATGAAACGATAACTTCCATACCAAATTCCAGATTTCCATTTATTTATAAATTCTCTGAACGAATAAAAAGGCTGTAATGAAACTGAAGTATTACTTTGAGGTTTATGAAGTCCAGACAAATTTGCTGGACGAAACACATTGGGACTGTTTAAATTTCAATCTCCGAATTTATTTTAAATATAATTTTCACAAATAATGTATTCTCAATACTTAGCGCCCAATTCCTGTCAAACTATTGGTTCTAATATTGACTAATACTCATAAATTTAAGGTTCATTTAGGCACAGAAACCAAATCCTGATTATACGAGTACAACAGACCTTGAAGTTTCCGGAGACTTATACAAAAGATGTTTAAATTATTATTGCTTTGTAAGGTTGACTAATTGTTTCAAGGACATAAGTACGACGACTTTAGAATCCACTGACATTTACTAAAGGGGCTCATTTGCTAAATTGATTTTAAAATTACTCGACTTCTATAAAATGTTCAGCAACTATTACTTATGCTTTCTAACACTCCAAATCAGGCTCCAACACATCCCTGTTCCTTCGCAACAAAGCTTATCAATGACGGACTCTGAAAAATCCAAGATTACAGAACTAGTCATGAATTTATTTGGATAGTTTACAACCTTAAAGATAGAAAAATTCAAATTTCTATCCAAGATAATAACAAAGCATATGAATGAAGAAATAAATGAAAAACTAAGGCAACATTTGAGAATTAGGCAATTTTCTCTGGTATATTCTGTAATTTTATTGTGATTAATACACGTTTTCCGTAGAGAAATTATTGTTTAGAGCTAGAAATATAATTTGCATATAACAGAGTTATCATGATGGATTATATTAATCAAGAACGTAAATAGTTGGAAATGCATTTATGTGATGATTATCTGCTAATTCCAATAAAATTATCAGTGTAATTAAATATTGTCAGTATTGAAAGTAATAATAATAACCAGTGACCAAATTTAACAAGATTATTTAATCATAATCTGATCATAAATATAGTAGTAATGAAAATGTTAACAACAAGATACAAAACAACTATCAACCACTTTGTATTATTATTAAGCATAATTATTATTAGTCCACCTACACATTATGCACATGGAGAGAAGAAGGGAAGAATTTTATACGATTTTATATTGATCAGATGGGCTTGGAAGAATTTCATTTCAATTTGGAAAAGCCTACTTATGTGGACAATTAAAATAGGCATTCAGTATACAAGCGACACGCTTATTAGCAGTCAGTTAATCAATTAACCGAAAGTATAATAAACAAATAAAACCAATGAAAAGTGAGCATAAAATTCACACGCACAAACACATACATTCATACAAACTATGATAATTCAATGAATACTAAACCAGATGATTCCCTTATATTTAATTATTCTGTAATAATTATTGCCAGTACTAAAATGTTTAACTGGATTAAAGTACAATATAAACTGACGAAAAAAATCTGTCTATTAAATAAGAAATAGTTTATTGTGAAAAGTTAAGTAATATTAATAATAATGAGTTGTACAACTAATTAGCACTGATACTCGAACCACCTGAACATTTGAAAAGAAGGATATAGGCAAACAGAATTTGAGCCAGCTACTAGTCAATTAAGAGATAGGATGAAAATGCAAACCGCTTAAACACGAATTCAGTTTATTTTCTACATAGGGCTGAATTTCCACTGTTGATTCAAACATTTTACTTCAATCATCTGGGGAAGTGTTGTGTGTAATTAAACAGACAATGAAGTTGAGCTGTTATTTTTACAAATCCAAATTTCCATCAGTGGCAATAAGATGACACAACTATGTGGGTTAATTAAGTGAACAAGTACAGGTCTATGTTAAATATATTTTGTAAGAGCGAAGGCTATAAGTATGATGCTCAAACTGAAGTAGAGAGGGCCAGGGTTTGAATTTACGACCGTCTAAATATGCTAATATTATAAAGTATCGTGTATTTTATGTACAAAATAAAACAATGATTATACGTTATTCTCTTCCTTGGTTGAACGAAAACTGATAAATTTGTGAGACAGATAGACATCACCGGCAGAGTAACTGCCACAAGTGTGAGATGGTCTTAGTTTCCAGAACTGATACGTTAATGCGCTGTGTTAGGAATTCACCAATCCACTTCCAAAACTGCGAACGAAACTACTTCTTTTTGATGTTAACCCTATATATATATATATATATATATATATATATATATATATATATATATATATATATATATATATATATATATATATATATATTTGTAGTCACGGTTCATAGCAATGTTCTGTGAAACGATGTCATATGATTACGTTATTATTATTATTATTATTATTATTATTATTATTATTATTATTATTATTATTATTAGCTTTATTCAATATTATATTTTTGGTACAATATAGAATTCTCAGCGTAAAGTATTTCAACAAGTTTCCGTTTCTTTCTTCTTGGTCGGTCCTGGCGACAAATATTGAGTGATCGCCAGTTAGATGTTAGCAGTTCACTAAATGAACATCTGAATAATGTGCATTCTTTTCGCTGTATATTGCCAGCAACTACATTGTCTGTTATTGAGTTTTTTGTATCTTTGACAACGAAAGGTTGTACACTTTTCAGAAACGCAGCAGAATAGGTTATGAGATTAATAAACATAATGATATATTAAAACAAACAAAAATAGATAACTTGTTGAAATATCTAGATGGCAGGAACAGGTAGCCCAGATGCTCAAGCAGGCCGCTTCACTTCATATTTACCGTATTTACATTTACAATCGATAAAAACATTGAGACAGTGGTGATTTAAATAGATTAAACAACAAATTGGTAGCTTCAAGACATTGATAATTGAGAAACACGAAATAGGTATGATTAATTTAGTTTATAGTATATATCGTGGATGCGCACTGCTGAGGAGTCCCAACAATAGGATGAAACGGCCGTCTAGTACTTCGAGCTTGAATTGACTCATAATCTCAACCATTGAAATTACTATAATATCCACAAAAACCCTTCTGATATGTCTAATACATCGAAATATTTAAAAATAATCCATAAAATAATAGCAACTAACCTGTACAGATAATCCAGAGATGTTTCCGGGTGAGTATCGACAAATGTAAATGATGTATTTGAATTGAGACATTTCAACATAGTATTAGGTATTGTAGTTAACCTACTATCCTGTTGACAGCATAATAGATGCCAAGATGAATTCATATTTGAATTATGACCAAGAATAGATCCATTTGTTGACGACTGATGAAATTTTCTATTACTACTACTACCATTTTCGTTATTATGATTTTTATAATTTAATAAATCTTGAGTTATTTTTAATTGATGTGTAAATAATGAAAAAGGAACATTAGCAAGCCATACTTCTGCAAAACGACCACGACCAATTAGTTTTTCTTTATGACACAACTTAGCCACAAGCTGATGGAATAAGAGAATTGAAGTAAGAGTGATAAAACGATGTCGAAAACCGGTGAGTTTAAAAGCCGAACGCAGTTAAATAATATGTTACTGAGTTTTTAATCCAACCGAAAATTATACGATCTTAAGGCACTGGCTAAATGGTTAAGGTGTTTAACTTTCAGTTATAAAGTCACGGGCTCAAGACAAGCTCCACCTGCATCACTTTGAGCAGCTACTTAGCAATATTATTGCTGACACTTAGAGTGCGGTTGAGCACAAAGTGTACACGAACGATAAAGGAGTTGTATAAATAAATATTATAAAATTAACAAGCTGTAAAGCTCAAAATTCTGAGATAAGTAGAAAAATTCAAATGTTAACATAGTGTTGACGTAATCACAAAATGATGTACATTATGTTCTTGTATAATAGAGGTAGTTCTAGGCTATATAATTTTCTTCTACTAAGAATTCGTGTATCAAATAAAGTCTTGAATTTGTGAACACAATCTCGTCAACAAATGGATTACGATTTATTCGGTAAATGCTGCTGATCATAGCTTTATGATAAAAATGTTCATTAAGAAACATTTATAGTTTTATATGGAGGAAAATTCAATGCTTTAATGTGTCAGAAATGCACGCAACAAACATTTTGAATTCTCGCAATTATTGAAAATTTTTCAGATATCTGAGATAAAACAAAAGTCCCGTAACGTTATAAAGTGCATTAATTTCAAATCAATCATCTTTAATGTACATAGTTAATACGGTTTAGAGAAGATTTAATCAATAACAACTAACAACGTAAAGAAATGCAAATACTAATGACTGAGATAAAGGAATGAAACTCAGTGACATCCATTCTTATGAGTCAATTAAAAACTGAACACCTATTATATTATCTTTCGTGGCTTTTTTTAGCTAGTTAAAGGACCTTGTAATGAAAACCAAGATAATTTATAAACAAAGATTGATGGGGGCTAGCAGTGGAATCCAAGACGCGCGTTTCGTCCCAGTTGGAACTCGTCAGTCGGATATACCTGCATCTCAGAGTTCATGTTCACTCCAGGACACGAACCGAGTACCGTTCGCTTCAAGCACCATCGCGTTGTTCACCTAGCTTCTGAGTCCTGATAGCCACATGCGTGTGCCATGGGGTGAAGTTTACATTCACTTGGTATTGTTTACTTGAATCTTCCCATTGATGTTTAGCACTGCAATTGATCAGATTGTTATTGGTATATGTGCATACTGTGCACATTGCCTCGATATTGCTTTAATTCAGATGCAGGTACATCCAGCTGACGAGTTCTAAATGGGACGAAACGTGCGTCCTGGATCCCACTGCCAGTCAATTTCCATCTTTGCTTATAATGCTTGTGAATTAAGGCAATACGTGCAGTATGCACATATGCCAATAAGACACTGATCAATTGTAGTGCTAAACATATACGAGAGGATTCAAGTAAACAATATCAAGTGAATTCAAGATAATTTATGTCACTGTTTTTTAGATCAGTTCAATAATGATTATGTAACAGACAAAAAGCAACAAGTGCAATTTTCAAGTTTAAAATAAAACTAGCATTTATGCTGTGATATAATAGGGTTAAATGTTCATCAATCTCGCTTATACAACCATGTTAACTTCTTTTAAGATAATGTTGGATTTAAAATATTATGGGTAGTAAGCAGAGGACGAGAACTTAACAAAAGAAAATTAGTTTATAGAACAGATGAATTTGTAACTAACACTGAAATCCAAGATGTGCACTTCATCCTACTTGAGATTCATCAACCAGGTATATCATATGTACGGGATAATCCAGATCCTTCCTAATAATGATATAAAATGAATTCATGTTATTCTACCCGAATCTTTGTTTTAGATCTCTTCAAAACAGTAAAGGAACTATGTATATGAAATTAATCCTTCAAATCAACAGAATCCACCAGCATTGGACAATAACTGTATAAGTATAACCTTATACATCCTGTATATCGAAAGCCAAGAATTAGGACAAATTTGCTGTTGCTTGCTTAACAACAAACGAGATGGAATATTGTGTAATAGAATGAAATCATCCCTCAAAATGAGGTTCATGGTGGAAATCTGTTAAACAAAACTTATTACCTATGAATTGATCACCTAATAACTGGTTAATCCAGATATTCGTGTTCTTCTAATAGAATGCTGTCTGCAGATACAATCTTTCCAAAACACTGCGTAGTCTTTTTTAATGTCCCTCCAATAACTAAATGCATACCATGGAAATATTACTTGTAATTTTCTGTGAAAATATTGCGATTTTGTGTGCTGTTTGTTAAATCCAATGTTTATTTAGCGAAATTACAAGATTTATGTAAAATGTATACATAGCCCTCGATCATCCATTTGCATCTTGTGGTGTGCTCTTCAATCAAGTTAGTTCTAAATTGTCTTCTCTACTGATTTTAAAGTGTCCTGACTATGCCATACTTTTTGACGAACTAAAGCTCTTCTCTCCGTCTGTCGACTGTGATATCTTCCATACAACGTTCTGCCACATGTTATTTACAAGCAACCTTGTTAGTAGTGCTTACCACAATACTAGTGTCTTAGTGTTAGCGGGACACAGATCGGATTGAAGCATGTTCCGTCCACTATTGTGTCAGTGCACGCTGATTGACTGTTTCTTATCCAACCAGCGCTAACCGATACTTGGAGAAGACTCTATAATCTTTTCATCTAAAAATTATAAATATACTAATGTTTTCCTTATTGTGCTTCTTACTTCCATCTACCTTTGCTATTTAAAATGTAATTTTGTTCCTGTTCAACCGTGTTCTTATTTGGAGACTTGTTGAGTGAATCGGTGTCCAAGAATACTAAGAAATAAAAATAGCTGGGTTGTAATAAGAGAAAATTATAACGCTTAGTGATGTAGATTGATTGACATTCAATAGAATGATGAGTACACTTAAAATTCATCAGTTTATTTAAGATTTCTTAACCGTTTTTACCAGTTTTTCATCAATAAACTCACCAACAAAAAAGAGATACGGATACCCTTAACTTCCTTGTCACATATTTTGACAACGGAGTATCAGGAAAAACTAGCTAAACACAGATACTAGATGTGAATGTTAAATAGTATGAGTATTAAAGATTCCCATTGTGAAAATTCGTTCAAACAGTATGAGACCTTAGTGACTGAAAATACTGCCTAATCTTGTCACAAATGTACGTAGGTTTAAGTGATTAAACTTTGAAACGAAATAGGAAAAAAGAAGTATTAAACCATTTGTTGCAAATGGAAATTGCATACTTATGACTCGAACTGTGTTAAATAAAAAAATTGATTTTCTTCATCTACTTTCCAGAAACCCAGCCGTCGAGCGCAGGTTCGTGTACTACTATTGAATAGTAATATTAAATAATATATCTTATGAGACGGTCCGAAACACGAGTGTCATACTACTAGCTCACAACTCAGTTTCAAGTTTATATTTTAAAAATTCCTATCCTTACATCGTATTATTTATTCGTTTACCTAACTTTAAAGTGCTACCCAGAAATATCACAAAAAGAAGGCATCCGAAGTAAAGTGTATACAAGTACGTGCGTATGCATTTATTTCAACCACAATTACTAACCTGCAAATTAGCTAATTCTTTCGCATTCGATTCAGTTTCCGATATATCACAGAAAACGAATCCACTACCTAGTGATTCAATACAGGAACCCGCTTGATGTAAATGATCACCGTTTGAAATACTGTGACGTGAAATCTCCGATTTTTTCACAGGATACGTTACAACACAACCACTGGTAAAGGATGATTTGAAAGACGAGCTTTTTGGACAATGGAAACAATCAACAATTGATAGTGTGCCATGAACACGACTGTCTAAACTGTTTTGAAAGTATTGTGAAGATGGAGATGGATGATTACATGCAAGGAAAAATTTCATCCGGACTTTTTTATATCGAGGAGATAAACAAAACACCAGTAAAATAACTGTGCATACAGTTGAAAGTAATATCCCACAAATGACAAATATTCTTAATGCATCTATCTGTAATCGATTATCTGAAGGATCTTCGTACGAATCTGAACGCTGGGGGGAAATAACGCCTGAGTTTGGAAAATCCTGAGGTGCTACAATTACATTCAAATCGTTATCAGGAACCCGTAAACCAAAGTGTTCAAGACCACTTTTGTGATGATCACCTGGAACTATAAGATATAAAAGTGTTGAGACATAAAATTAAACATTTAAAGAGAATAAGAAATTGAAGTGAACGTAATCAGTTACAATACGTTTTAATATTCAGAGAATGTATGATCAAGCATATACACTTTTAGCATGAAACTACGGAATGTATTTCGTCCGTTTTAATCAAATAAGAAATAAAATGAGTAATGTTAGAAAGAACAGTTTCTTGGTCCAAGATGTAACTCTATCTGAACGTCGGAGGCAAACATAAAAATGAGATTATTGTATGGTAGTAGCGGTAAATAATGTTACGTCTACACATCTTTAATAATTTCGATACGATTGACAACTTAAAAACTAATATGCAAAACGGAAGTTATAGTAATTAGTAATTTAAATGATCAAAAAATTGAATTATTCATATTTAACCGTTTCATCATAATTGAATGATTAATACCGATAACAAGTAGTAAAGTGTACAAGTCTATGTAACTCGCCGAGATCACTGGATACACTTCTTAACTACAGAAAAAATCGTCCACCACCAGCCAACTTTTAGTTCATCCCAAAAGTTGATAGACGTTAGTAAAATCCCAAAAATACTGAAAACTTACCGAGATCTTCAGACATAGGGACGATTGTCAAAGTTTCATTATTGCACATATGATCATAACAACAGCAAGTTTCGAGTAAATCATCCTTAGATTTATGAAGAACGTGGCATACTCCCCTAACGGTAGGACACTTGTTTTCCTAAGTAATTGAAATATGGATATTATTAAATTAAATTCAACAATTACCAATTCTGGCCATGGCCAACAATCAAAACTATGTGGGTTGTAAGGTTCATATGTTGATTCACGACTAAGTGTAATCAAACAATGTCGTACATCGGCAGTGCATTGCCTACTTTTGACGCCATCACTGTGTGCTTGGAAACCAGAAGCACAACTTATTCCGTCAACCTTAGCGTAATTTGTAAAATAAATCAGGTAGAACATGACAAATATGAGCATGTGATCTGGAAAATACGCGGCATTATATAAAACTAATATCTTACCCGTTAAACACGTATAAAGATGATGTAGCATAGAAACCACATGCTTGTAATTCAAGCATTATTTAAAAGTAGCATACGAAAATAAATATCCATACATAGAAGAATTACATGACACTTGTAAGGATCAACAATAAAGTTGGTCTGCAAGTTATCTGGAAAAAAAAATGAAATACAGTATTGAATATAACTATATTTTAAAGAATACGAAGATGAGACATTAATTTATACATTTGCCAAATATGGAAAACCAAACAAAAGCATTTTAAAATTGTACGTTCTTTGTTAACCAGTAACATGGATGAGAACAAGATAGGTAGAAACGTAAGTACTATACGGATATTTCGATTCAGCTAGCTAGGAGTTCAGTATGTATACTTTAATGCGCTACATCACACTGGTTTAATAGTAAGGGAATAGGATGAAATTAGTTGTAAAAACCGAAAAAAGTAAAAACAAGTGATAAAGATTAAAATGTTCATTAATTCAGATAAGAGGATGAATCTGAAGGTAATGCTAAAAATAATTCACAAATTTCCCTAACGAAAAATGTGCAGTAATGACTTAACGGTCTAGCTTTAGGTATGAACGTAGGCATTCAAATAAATTAAATAAATACTTAATATTTGACGTACCTATTGTACTATCAAGTCACATTTCTGCATGTAAAGGTAATCCTATAAACAACTGCACATTTCCTCAATAAAAATGGCCTATTGTCCGAAGAAAAGGTCAAAATATCAAGCTCGGTAGGCAGAAGTAAGAGAATTGATAAACCCGTTTCTTAAGCAGCTATGGATGAAAGACATCCTTAGTACCGAATGTCAATATCCTTTGAACACAAACAAAGTACCTAGATAAAAGGTTAAATACAATTTTTAGAAAGATGGACTGAGTAAAATGATAGGCTTATTAAAGTCCACCACTTAGTTATCACTGCTTTGTTAATTAGATAGCTGTTACACTAGTATGAGAACATGATGGCTGAATACCTGTTTGGATTATTATCTCTTGAGTTCGTTGACCAAGGAATATTTTCTGAGACAATGAATACCGTCCTAACCTGTGGTTTTCATCTTTTATACATCGGACGACATTTGCTGATTTATTAATACGAAACAAAAAAAACTGGGATCGAAAGCACAATATGGCACAAACAAGAGTATGAAACGGTTCGATCTCAATAGTATCACTACCAAGAGTTCACTTATTTTAGAAGTACATCACTGTTGAAGAAAAACTAATACCTGATTGTCACAAGATTTCGTCATTAACAGCCTAATCATAACTTACGCATGTGAAATTTAGTTTCATAAAACCCCACCCGAAGTGTTGATTTAATTGGCAATTACAGTAAAGAGCTACATGACTAAAAATGGTAGTAGGTCAAAGAAAATGTTCCATGATGTGCTTCTGATTTGTAGTAGGCGAATGATGTCTACGCAAAGAAAAGTTAATAAGACATCTAGTTCGAATTTGTTGGTGGCAGATCAGATACAATCCATTTGTCGCACACTTGTTCAAGTCGAAAAAGCTTAAACCACCAGGAAATTCTAGTTACCTTATGAATGAGGTTTGGGAACTAGATCTTGGTGTTAAAACTGTATTAAAATGGGTTAAGATGGACTTGAGAAAGGTAGACACCAGTCTATAACTATAAAGTTTAACTCATAAATACACTGTTTCCCTGCACCTAAACCTAAAGGTTCTGAGTGCTTGACATTGATGAATGAGTAATAACAAAATCACTAGTTTTTAAACACACTTCAGCAATCGACAGCACGTATCATACTATAGACAAAACGAGTTTATTAATTCCATGATTTATTGGTTTTTCATCTCTCAACGCCTAAAAATATTGACTGGAATCTCAATGTTCACGAAAAACGTAAAACCATGACGATAATTCAAATCAAGACTAAGGACTGTATAGGCTAGAAAGATTGAAGGTGATAAGTACCTTAAACATATTTTTCTCGGAAAAACATGCCTAAACCAACTTCAAACCGAGAATCATAAGTATCAAACCCATATTTTTTAATTTACTCTATTCATAATGCTATTTGAAACCCCATTCAGCGTTTTGGTTGAAATATTCCCGTATTACGAAATTCTATTTCGAGAGCATCAAAATTTTTTTAAAGAGCTGAAGCAACGATGGTTTGCTGATCATCAACATGAAAAGTTTACTAAGCGCACAAAAATTACCCAAAGAAGTTATACATACAAATAAACCGCGAGATCTCTGCCCCGAGTTCAGCGCGCTGTCGAAACAAACGTACAATTACCAATGTACGCCTGCAAATTCAGTGAACAATATGTTACTGAAATACTAAATGCAAATTTTATAAATTTCAGATGTCGTTTTTTGTATGTATCTTGCGGTGAACTGTGGATAGAAAACAGTGACTTGTAAGAGTGTCTACATGTCCCTTTCACTCGCTCAACTCCCTAGAGATTGGAAGGACGCTATAGTCAGTCCTATATTTAAGGACGGTCAGAGACATATAGTATTTAACTACCGGCCTGTCAGTCTAACTAGCATAGTCGTTAAGTTACTTGAAAAGTTAATTCGGGTTAGGTTGCTAAGTCATATAGATTTACACAATCTGTTAGCTCCTGAGCAACACGGATTTCGTAACAAGCGTTCATGGTTGACTAACTTGCTTATTGCGAGGGAGGATTGGACAGCAGCCCTAGATAACGGTCTGTCGGTCAATGTGATATTCATAGATTTTATCAAGGCATTTGACAAGGTTTCACAAGTAGGTCTTATGCAGAAGCTCACGAGCTTCGGAATAATTGGTACCGTACATGAGTGGATAGGAAACTTCTTATGTGACCGCAGACAGAGAATGAGGGCCAACGGAACGCTTTCCGATTAGAAGCCGGTCAAAAGTGATGTACCCCAAGGCACCATCTTAGGCCCTCTGCTCTTCTTTCTCTACGTTAATAAGTTACCGCTGTTACTTAGGTCGTCGGCATTATTGTTTGCGGGTGATGTAAAAATCTGGAGAACAATAAAAAGTGCGGCTGATCATCATCTTCAAAATGACTTAGACGATTTAGTTAGATAGACTCCAGGTTGTGGCTTAGAAATCAATGCTAAGAAGAGTGTGCTAATGCACATCAGTCACAGTAATAGTTACCGTTACACTATTGAGAGTAAACCTCTTCCATGCGTTTAAGAGCATAAAGACTTAGAAGTAGTATCAGGTCATGATTTAAAAACAACTACGCATTGCAAAGCACTCGGTTTCAAAGGTTTTCGTGCGTTATGGTCACTTCGCCGAGCGTTCAAATCTTTTGACGAGGAAACGTTTCGAATTATATATTCCACCCATGTAAGACCACACTTAGAGTACTGTATCCAAGCAGCTAGCCCGTGTCTGGTAAAGGATACTAACTCCATTGAGTGTGTCCAGCGTGTGGGAACGAAATCAATGAAGGGTCTTTTTAGACTCCCTTACGATGAGCGTTTAAAACGCCTAAATCTTTTCCCCTTGTCGTATCGTAGGACAAGAGGCGACCTTATACTGACATTTCGTATCTTTAATTATGAGTTGGGTGTTAATATGTCTTATCTTTTTACTCCCTCCAGCACTAATAATCTCCGCGGTCGTAGCAAGAAGGTTCATAAACCAAGATGTACTAAACTTAAAGTGGGGTCCCGTTTTTCTCATCGAGTAGCCAATCATTGGAACGCCTTATCCGAACAAGTGGTATCAGCCCCATCAGTGAATACTTTCAAGGAGAAGCTGGACCTTCCCTGGAAAGCAGTGTGTCAGGATTAATATAGGTTCATCAACCTACTATACTTATTACTGAAGACTGAAGACCAAATGTCTTCTGATTGGCCAATAATTGAAATTGCTCAAACGCTTCTGATTGGCTCGTCCCTAAATTAGAGTCTCACCATCCCATCTGCTGTAACCTCTCATTAATCACCTCCTCTCTAAAATCCGATGTGAACCGATCGTATGTTAGCATTGCGTGTTGAACTTGGCTCTGTGACTTTGAAGTTGCTCAAACGCTTCTGATTGGCTCGTCCCTAAATTAGAGTCTCGCCTTTGCATTGTTTCCTTTTTACTACTTAAACTTTTGTTAATTTATTGTCGGTCATTTAATAACTCTGAACAAGTGGCTTATGTTAAGTCACGAAAGGTCAGAAACAAAAATTTTCTATTTATAAGGATATGATATAAAATATATTTGTCACATCTTAGGGCTCTTTTATACTTTACTTCTAGTTTGATCGGGTCTTGTATGCTCTCTCGTAAAGCTGTTGCCGACAACACTTCTCACGAGCCTTGAATATCTGTGAAATATTTTGATTGTCACGTGTATTTGCCACTTTCATGTGATAGCTGCTGATCATAAACATTGTGAGACCAAGCTTGGCAGGATCTATCTGTACGAGGAGTCATGAGGGTATATTATTTTCACAGATGTGGTTACGATCAATATGTTAAGATATGATTGCGAACGAAATTTGTTAACGGTTTTTTAATAATGAGGAATGAGATATATCAATTCTCCTTTTTTGTGCTTTGGACAGCAGTTTGCATTTAGTTTTTTGCCCTTGAGAGGCAAGTATTTACGAAGCTTCATCCATTTCTATGTTCTTTCAAACTCTTTAAAAATGTAGCAACCATAGTGTCACGTAGTTTTAATTTTTGTAACTAATAGAATACCTTATCTCCTCTCTTTGTTTGTTCATGTGTTTACATATTTATGTTCAATATCTATCATATATTTGCATTGATTGTGACTTGACTGCACTCTTGGAATAGTGATAAGTAAAACTAGAATCTCTGCGCTCCTGAAGGTCAACAAATAAATATGACAAAATCTAGAATATACATATCGGCATTAGAATTAATATCCAAAACTGCAATTATATTTGGTCAACATGTCAGGTGTGTGTACTTAAAACATTGATATTTAGAACCCGAATTTCAGATTTCACAAAATTCTCCACTTCAGCCCCCATAGCTGGTCGAGTGTCATTTCTACGATTTATAACTTTTGCAGACATCATATATTCGAACGAATAATCCTTCATTTTAATAGTGTCTCTTTCGTTACAGAATGTTTGGTACTTCTAAAATGCAATAGAACTGTGTCTACTCCGCTATCCATTTCATCGAATGATCAAGCAGCAATGGAATTATTAGCAGTTTTCAATGTCCTGATGACAGTTTCTTCTTGACCATTGGAGAAAGAGTGTGTGGTGAACCAGACGATATATAAACGCAAAAAGTATCTACAAAGTTAATTAAGATCAATAGAGATGTTAAGATATATATAAGTTAATTATTGCAACTACAATAGAAATTTGGAACGTTACTTAAATTGACCAAATGTTGCGTGTTCTGATTGGGTCCGGTATTGTAAATCCACAATTATAAATGCTTGATCACTCTGACCAGGTCGACGAACTCTCCAGTGATATGATCCAACGTAGAATGTGATATATTCCAATTACAGTCTATAAATGATGATAGTATTTGATTTAAACTTCGGTTAACTCAATCACAAACGAAGATAGAACGAAGAATGTGTTAGTAGTAGTGTATTTGTTAACCAGCAAGAGTATGTCACGCTATGTGGTTGCACACCGAAAGTGTGTTCAAGGTCATTTACTGAAACAACAGTTACAGTCATTTAATGATAAATATATATATACAGTGAAAGGTTGACAAGATAAATACAAATAATATCAAAAACTATTTACAAAATCAGCTTGTCAGTCATATCTCCACAAGTGCATGATCGCATTAAACAGACATCATCACGCTTTACCATTTTTTCAAATGGTGACTGTCAGAGGAAATCTGCGTTTCAGATTAGCATTCCAACACTTTCGCAATGCACTGAGTATACATCCAAAGTATCTACGAGTTTGTCTGATGATATGTGGACGTTTCACCCGTATAGGTCACACTTAATAATAGTTTGAAGTATAGACAGGTCTTTCTTGTATTCATTGTTGAGAAATGTAGTTAACGTGTTGAATCGGTTTGGCACACTCGTGCTGAACCTTACAGACATATGAACTCGAAGCAATACTCCATCGTTTGACCATATCAGCTGAGGAACGTCCTAAGAATTTTTCAGGATGATAAATGAACTTTAAAGCTTCATGGTCAGCAACAATAGTGAATTTCTTTCCGAATAAATATTTCTGAAATTTTTTAACAGCCCAAGACACAGCTAATATTTCTCGCTGAGTTTGTGAATAACATTATTTAACACCAGAACGTTAGCGTGGAACGCGAATAACTGGTCTATCTTTCTGCCCCAAGACTGCATCAATACCCACAGGTAACGCATGAGCAAGACATATAGATTGTACACTAGGTGAGTTAGTTCGAAGAACATAATCACCTTGAAGAAAACTTAGTAGAATTCGTAAGCATGACTCTTGTTCCTCACTCCATTTAAATGGGTTGGATGTCAAAAAATTAAATCAACAATATCGATAATGCAATGGGAAGTTAAATTATTATCGTTTTTTCTTTGTCATGGCTTACCCTTAACCTGTCTAGCTGACATTTTAATTTTTATATATAAATGTTCTTGACAGGTATATGTGTGATCAGATTGTTCGAAATGTATTGCGCAAGTCTATCACATAATTCTGATAAACTTCGTCTTCTCATTGCATTATCGAACTCTATCAAAGAGACTAATTTTAAATAGAGCAAGAACAAACATTGATGCAGAATAGTATGAATTCATATTATTTCGAGGTTTCTCGTCAGCTGCTTACAAACCAAAATTGTGATCGAATTTTTTTACATGGAGATAGTGTGAAACAATTGACATAAATGAGTGTAAATAACTGGATTACAGTAATAACTATATATATGCTAGAAACAGGTCAGAGGTCAAAAGAAGGGGGTTAATCCAGGGTGGGTGGTGTAATAATTCAGTGAAGTTCATAAATTGTGTGACAATTGTAGAGATTAATGGAATTAAATAATGATAAGGTAGATTACGTAATAATAATTAAATAGGATTTGGAAAGTTAAGATAATTTAAGAGGATCAGATGGTGGAAATGTGTGAATAAAATTTATTTTAAGAATTAGGTAATAGAGAGGGAGTATAAAATATCTTAGAATAAGTAAATGAATAAAATAACCAAAACACAAAACAAACAGAAACAAAAAGATTACCAGGGTAGTGATAAGTTTATTAAAATGTGAACACAGTTAATAAAAAGGTTATAATACTGGATTACGTAATATTACCTTTTTATTAACTGTGTTCACATT